CGAGCACGTAGAAGTACCACTACACGACATGGCATGGACTCGACTAATGTCTGAAGTAATACTGGAGATAATTGACACTATACATCCTGCAAACTCATACGAGAAGAGGGGGTGATCTCTTCTGAACAGCACATTGCACAGCATCCCAGAAATACGCAGTAATGGACATATCTGGGGATTTTGGTGGCCAGTGGAAATGTTTAAATTTAGAAGTGTGTTCCTGGAGAATTCTAGACGTGTGGGCTGTCCTGCTGGAACTGCCTAAGTCCGTCAGGATGCCCAATGGACATGAATGGGTGCAGGCGATCAGGCAGGATGCTTACGTACATATCACTTGTCAAAGACATATCCAGGCTGTAAGAAGTCCTATATCTATAAGCTTTGAATACTACACTATAAAGCTTTGTGTCAGACAGTGCACAGTCATCAAGGGTACACAAATGGGCCGCTTCCCTAACCTTTTGGGTCAATGACCTCCATTGCGATCAAGTTTTTCGTCCAGTTTCTCTGATCCCATGAGCAAATGCTGAGATGATCCCTTATTTGGCTTCTAGGTATAAATGTAACTTCATTACCTGAGCAAGACTTCTAGAGTTCAATGGAAAATATAGTCATTGAAATTATAGTTCTCTTTGTTGTTGCGGAAGTATATAGATGGGCACCTATCACACTTGTTGACCTTGAAAACCTCTCAAGAAAACATTTTACCTGGCATGGTCTCCTCATGAACCAGATATGTAAACAAAAACTAGGAGCCATGATCATCTCACACCTAAAAAATAAACTCACTGGTATAGAAATAATACTTGATGAGAAACACAACCACATTTCAATATTGTGCTTCACAGAACACTGGCTAACTAAAGAACAATAAGATAACACATATATACCAGGTTTCTGACTAGCCAGCAGCTCATGTTGAAATATTAACAACGCACATCATGCATATTGTGGGACATGCATTTTTAATAAAGATACTATTATTTTTCTACCCTACACCAGTCACACTCATCTTGTGAAAGAGAAAGACTTTGAAATATCCATCATTGACTTAACTACAATAAAAACATGGGTCTTATGCATATAGTGCAGCTCTGCTGGAAATTTGAAAATCTTTTTAAAAAATCTGGAAGTTATTCTAACACAACTTCAAAAACACAGACAGTATAAAATTATTCTTTGCGGTGACTTCAATATAGATTGCCTTACACAATCCATTAATGAAAATCTACTTGACGACCTACTAAAATCATACAATTGACCACACTGCCCAGATTCTAACACTTCAAACAGAAACAACAACTGTGGAATAGAAAACTTACAAAGAAATCTGTAACTATTCCCAAAGAAACAAGATAAAATTTCAAAACTTACTCAGATTCGAAAACTGGAATGAAGTATATAAGGCAACTGATACAAATGATAAGTTTAATTCATTCATAAATATATACTTAAAGACATTTACTAAATAATTCATAATATATAATTCATACTGTATAATTCATAAATATATACTTAAAGAAACTCAATGTGATTTTTCCTCAAAAACTCAAAAAGATCCAAAATAAGAAAACTAAATCGTGGATTACCACAGGCATCAAAGTGTCATGTGAAAGAAAACGCACCAAGTGTAAAATAGTAACAAATGTAACTCAAACTTCATTTCATATTACAAAACATACAATTCAATCCTAAAAAAAGTAATCAAACAAGCAAAAATTATGACAAATGATAAGTACATTGCAAATGCATGTAAGAAAACAAAAGCTATGTGAGACATTATTAAAAAGACTGCAGCACCAACTAATAATAACAGAAAAAAATATAGAGCTCCATTACAAAAACCAAACTGTACAAGACCCACAAGAAATAGCCGATATATTCAAGGAACACTGTTCACAAGTTAGTAATAAATTAATCTCTTAAACAATAAAACACACCAACCAAACACAAATGTTACACAAATTGTAAATTCCATATTTTTATATGAAACCCCCCCCCCTATGAGATTTTTAAAATCATTGGATAAATGGAGAATAAATTCTCAGCAGGCATAGACAACATTCCAGACTTTCTTATTAAACACAGTGCTCCATGTATAGTACAATCACTCTCACATCTGCAATTACTCCCTAAAATCAGGCCTATTCCCAGATATATTCAAAAGAGCAAAAATTAAACCAATGATTAAAAAGGGCAATAGTTATGATCCAAAGACTCCCTGTTATCAGGATTACTCTCCCTCTTATTAGGATTTTCAAAAATTCTGGAAAGGCTTTACAATGATAGACTCAAACAGTTTCTCAATGCAAATAATGTCCTTACAAATGCACAATATGGCTTCAGGAATAATAGATCCACAGACACAGCCATCTTCTCCTTTTTAAATGACATACTTGTTGCCCTAAATTAGAAGGAAATTCCCATTGGTCTTTTCTTAGATTTGTCAAAAGCCTATGACATTACTGACCAACACATACTTTTAAGAAAACTAGAAATGCTAGGGGATTCGAGGCATTGCAGGCCAATGGATCAAATCATATTTATCAAACCTTAGCCAAATAATTGCCCTCCATCACACTAAAGAAAACAAAACCTCCTCATACTACTCCTGCCTTCAAATGATAAATTGTGGAGTCCCGCAAGGATCCATCCTTGGACCAATACTATTCCTTATATACATAAATGACATGCCTTTGGCTTTAAGGAATAACAAAATAATTTTGTTTGCAGATGACATCCAAGCAAAAACACAATAATCATTAGAAAAAGAAACTCTCAAAACTTTGCAAGCACCAGTAAAATGGTTTGAAGACAATAAATTCATCCTAAACACCAGCAAGACAGTCTCTCTCTAAGTTTCATGAATCCCCAATCTAAAGAAAAACTCTCACGGCATTTGCTCATAAACAATAACCCTTTAACGATATCTCATGAAACTACCTTCCTCAGTCTAACAATTCAAGAAAACCTAAAATGGAATGCTCGCATCTCAAATCTTAGGAAGCTCACCAAATCTTGCTATGCCCTACACACCCTCAGGTCACGCTGCAACATTGAAACACTTCGAACGATGTATTTTGCAAATGTGCACTCACACCTAAAATATGGAATAATATTCTGGGGAAGTGCCCCTGAAAGCACTCGCACATTTATTATCTAAAAAAGAATATTGCAAATAATGACCAGCACTCGTAAGCTGGAGTCTTGCAAACCCTTGTTCAATAAACTAAGGATTCTTCCTCTACCATGCATCTATATATTTGAAATCGTGGTCTTCACAAAGAAAATTCTCATGGACAACAAAGACACTTTTACTTTAAATTCCGATGTACACAACTACCACACTTGTCAAAAGGATAACCTATATGTTCCCCACTCTGAAACTACACTTTATCAAAAAAGTACCCTAATAGAGGGCATTACACTTTACAACAAACTAGGCAATGATATTAAAGACATAAACACAATTCATTGCTCACAATATTGTGCGAAAACTATTAAAAATTTCAAAAAATTGTACATAACCTTATTGAAATAACTCACTATGAAGAACAAAATTTATTTGAAGGAACTTTATTTTCAATTTTGTATTGTAGAAGGACGCATGAAAAATTTCAAAATTTTTCAAAAATTCAGAGTTTACCTTGAAAATCAGACCTATGCCACTTTTATATGTGTATTTAACTCTATTCTAACAAGAAATTTTTAAAAAAATTTGGAGTCTTTTTGAGAAAATTTTTAAAATGTCTAAGAAGCTTCATGCGTAGTACCTAAAGAATTTTAGTTTTTTCAAAATCACAGAGCTTCAACTCGAGCCAGATCTACTGACAAATACCGGTTTTGTAAAAAAATCCTACAAATAGTTTAGGTGTTAGTGTTTACTGTCATACAGACAGACAGATGGACGGAATGACAGATGTTTTGAAGAAAAACAACCACTATATAGGTATTAAGGGGCCCAAAAACAAAAATGACTGGGGGGGTTTCATTTTCAGTACAAATTTAAAAGAGTTTTTTCAAAATCGCAGCACCTCGAGTTGAGGCAGATCGACCAGGGAATATCCATTTTGGAAATAATCCTACATATGGTTTAGACAATAGTGATGTTCACAAATGGATGGGTGTTAAAAAAACAAAATTTTTTGGGTATCAGGGGTTCCCAAAATGTGTATTTTTGTTGAAATTGATTTTCCACATTACATATACTACTTATATTATGCCATACAATACATATGTATATGAGAAAATAAAAAAAGTAAATGTTCTGGTCACATGGCTGCAAGAACAATCAACTTTCTCAACAATAATCATGTACAAATATTGCTTCATCATATTCACTGGACTTAGCCCCTTGAGGTTTCTTTGTTTACCCAAACCAAGGGAAAAATGTAGTGTTTAGATTTCAATAAATTAATAATTTTTAATTCTGTTAAAAAGCTAATATAAACCTAGTATATGATTTAAGGTCTAGTTTACTCATTGGATTGAAAGATTATAGTTTTTATGGAAATTACAAGTTAGGAGGAAGGGAAAGTGTGGTGGCTCACTCTATATTATGTTAGTATATTTTGCTGTGTTTGTTATTATTAGGATGGATGAAAATTGAGACATGAGAGTGCTGGTAGCGTAGTGAAAAATAAACAAACATGTAAGTAACCTGATGAGTAACAAGAAGAAAGGAAGTTCTTGACGTATAATAGAGTAACATTATAAAGGAAGAAGAGGCATTGATGGGGAAATTCCATGTCAAATCATACAATATCAAAATTAACAAACACTTCAGATATGAACACACTGAGGTTCCAATGTGTCAGTCAATTCCCCAAAGTTGATAACCCATCATTCTTGTGTTAATACAAGGGGATTTTAAATAAGTCTGATTTATCTGATGGAGATGTATCAAGATTGGTGAAGTATTGAACATGACATTGAACTAACTCTGGAATGTACATATTACTGAATTTGACATTAACGGATATTGATAAGTTTTTAGCTGAGTAGGAAAGTGTTCAAATTAGAGAATGAGAAAAATCAACAAGTGTAATAAATGGAATTTAATTTGATTCAGTAAATAGCCAACATTCATTTTCTAATAGATTTAGTTTCATTGATAAAGTTTAGGAAACTACACTGGTCTCTTTATTGAGTTTGTCAAATAGGGTAATTAATTAGCTTAACATTTGTTTTTGTGTTGTTAAGAGTTATTGTGAATAAATGTTTTTATTATAGTTGCTTCTCTTACACCTAATTTTCTTTCCGTGAGATTTCTGAGCAATGCTCCTGGTGTACACCACAGTACAATCAATTCCTAGCCTCAAATTTCAATGAAACTGCAGGTTCCCTTTTAATTTGCTAAATTAAATACAAATCAACAGTTCTCAATACAATATGTTGCATTAAGCACCTAACTCCAATATGGCAAACACAATGCACAATTTTCATCTCTTTTTGTCTAAAAGGTTTAACAAATTTCCTTATGTGAAGTTGGAAATAAGTATTTTGCTCAGATTGTGAAATATCAGTTGGAATTATAACTTGAACTACATACAAATAAGTCAAATATTTCTCCATGATAGTATCATAGCAAATGCATGCCCAAATTTGAGGAAGAACAATTTGACACTTGACAACCATGTCTAAACTAGGACATATAACAAGCCCACATTTGCGAGAAAGTCTCATCTATTAGAATGTTTGCACAGAGTACTGTAAAATGTGATTAACAATCATGTGATAAGCAGAGTGCGAGATGGGTAATACACGACAATACTGAAGCATTGGCCAGTTCTAATAGTGCTATATAAAGTTATTAAAAACCAATATGATGTATGGAGGATCCATTTTGTTGATTTATTAGTTCATAGTTTAATATTACATTTTTTAACCCTAGAGAAATGGAATGCAGTCAGGTAGTTAAGGAAAACAAACTTTTCTTCTCGTTTGATATCAGGGATCTGCAAAATGTATTTTGCTGTTGAAAGATCTGCCCTTTCCAGCACAATTACATAACTATCTTTCTATTACTAAATGGTAGAACAAGATAAAATAAGGATCACGATCTCCAGATCTACCATCCCAGCGTGTCATGTTTTTATCATTTACATTACATATTTTAGTTACAAGGATGTGCACATTATTTCATAATTGTTAGTCCTATAGAGTTGTTTTCAACCAAAAAAGATAAATCACTGGAAAAGCCAAATAATTTGCAAATTATCAAAGCAAACTTTCCTTCTGAATCATATCCTTAATTACAGGTTATCTTCTCTGAACAGGAAATACTTAAAAGTTGAATGACTAAAAAACAAACACCAATTATGTAAATTGGAACAACAACATTTTTATTAACTTTCAACACAACCATCTCACAGAAATGCAACATGTTGAAATTGTTACCAGATCAAGAAAGTAAATTCATATCTTTTGTTAGATACACAAAACATGGAATGAATTAAGTAGAGTAGTGTCCAAAACATGATCATGTATCATACTCTAATTCCAGTAATCCACTACTTAACAAGTAGACAATACAGATGATTTAACAAAATCCGTTACAAATATACTTTGGTTGATTTTGACTCAACAAGCAAACATTCTCGATGTTCTCAGTCAGTAGTATTAAATAAGTTGTATAACAAACTGATAGAAAATTCATTCAGCACTAAACTTCACTCTCAATGTATGTAATTACAATTAATATAGAACTAAAGCTGATCACACGTTCACCACATTTCACTTATTCACATTAAAACCAGTGACACAATTTTCAAATCACAAACACCAAAAAATGTGCAATCCCACAGCCCACAGTTTTATTAACAACACTACTGGCTCATGTATTATTATTGCAATTACAATTTACTGAAGCAAACTGAATTTGTGGCCACCACCTTATCTGTATCCAAATTTCTAAATTTATATTGCACCATTCAATAACGTACATTTGATTGAACACTTTATTTACAAGGTGTACGTACATATTCAGTGACCTAGGTAACAATATGCCATGCATAACTCTTGTTACCATAAATTTCACTGACTGGGATGTGTCTAATTTGTTTCAACAAATAATAAAATTAAAGCATATTTACTACAATAACTCCTGAAGAAAATTTCCCAAAAAATAAAATTTTGTGTCGATTTCACAATATAGAACAGTCATATATACAAACTGACATTTGAACCTAATTTTGAAAAATTAGGTATCTATAAATTATGCAACTTAGTTTGCATAGATTTTTAAAAAAACACTTTATATTTTTATTTAAAAACACACAAGGAATTATTCTAGTAAATATTAAAACTTACAACAAGTGGGTGCAACCATCTAATAAACTATAAAAAACACATAGTACATTTACTGTGATAGATGAAAGCCACTTGATAAATTCTGATCTTTGAATAATTATAGGGCATGTTAAAATTATTTATATTACATTATGAATTAAAAACTGTTTGAATAATTTGGACCAGTGGATGGATATCAAATTCCACACCCAAAATATCTACCGAGAGTACCAAACAAAGCTACTTTCAATGTTATCTTTTTAAAAATGAATGGGTAGGGTACATAAACCCCTCATGAATTAAGGGTACTTCTATTTCGACCAAAATTATGCTGAAGAAAAAAAGAAAATGTGGCTATTGCATGAGCCAATGTGATACTTCCCTATCACCACCGAGAGTGCTGCAGAATTATCAGAGGCACACATGAAGGCAGGCAGGCAGTGTTCCAACAGCTGTGTTCTCTACTAGGACACTCTACTCGGCTTCTTTCCTTTCACCACAACAGGCTTATTTTTTATCAGACCCTTCTTGCGTTTGTTAGTCTGCTGGCAAAATACAATGTTCATTGGCTTAATGAAATGAAGTAATAAGTTTTGAAGATAAATGTGCACATCACATACAGACATACCATCTCACCTCCACTTTTGATGAAAAATTTCTAACTTTCTCATTTATTTATAAAGGCATGGTAAACTTTTTATAAGTGATTAAACACATTAACAAAAATTATTTTGCTACATAATCATTTTAGTAATGAAGACAAACTATCAAAACAGCATGTCCACAGCCCAGATAACTCCAGTTCAACATCTATGATTGGATCATCTCATAACAAGTTTTGTAACAAATTGCAATTCGAAATATTTTCTCAATCATTGCAAGATAAAGAAATTTATTAGAAAGTTTCATCAAAATCAGACCAGAGGTAGTTGCAACATACGTTCACCATTTTGTTCCAAAAGCATTACCATACCTTTTTAGGAATGAAAATCTTGCTACGCTTAATCTTCCGTTCTGAGACTGGAATTCTTGGACGATTGAAGTCATCTGGCTTCTTTACTCTGTGAAAGACAACATTTTGTAAACCATTCATAAAAAACACACACAAGTAAGATTTATTTTGAGCTTACCTGTATATTCTGACAAGCCAGTGCTCAGTGGTATAAGCTTCTTCTAAATATGTTAAATCGAAATATTTGTTACCAATTATTACATTCCTGGTTCTATCAAAACCTGTGGGGGTTCTGTAGTCCAGCTACAAATAGGAACAAATTGTATTTATATTTGATTTTTCAAAATTGCAATGCAAAAACCTTTTCGAGAGAAAAATACTTACTCTTAAGTCTCCAAACCGGTAATAACTAAGTTTATACATCAAGCAATTCAATAAAGTAGGTGTGCCTTCAGAATCTACTCTAAATTCTCCACGGTCAGTGAAGTAATCAGTTTCCTAAAAGACAGAATAATGAATGACAGATAAGAATGATTAAATCCAATACAAAACATAGGAATCAATCAAGCAAATTAATTTACATACCCGAATGTCTTTGGGATGCTCTCCTTCAGCAATTCGCACCATCCATAAAAATTTATTTATGTCGTCTCCAGAATAACCAATTACTCCACCAAATATTACCAAAACATAATCTACATCCAATGATAGCATAATTTTATATGCTTCAGTTTCATTTGAAGACATTGCTTTTCCAACCTAAGAAAGAATATAAAACATGCCTTTTGACATTTATGCTTGATTCAATTTAATTTCCTGAAAAACACACTAATCACAATATATAGTATTCAAGATCGTGCAATTTTATTAATTCTTTAAACACACAATTTGGAGTGATTTTTGAAAAAAAATCTTGTGGATTTTTTTGTAAATTGTCACACATTTAATTCAAAATTATATGCATTTCTTAACTAGTGATGCAACAGAATATCATATTACTTTATTGCCTTTGGTGTGGGCTAGCTAATTGGACTTGCCACAATGTAACCGTACACAGGATCCCAGTCCAATAAACTTTTCCAAATGAACATTTTTGTCTAGAAAAATAATGTTTTTAGTAAATAAGTCAGTAGGAAAAAGAAACAAGTGACAACATGAATGCGGAACAGAGTTTTATATTCTTGTTGAATAACAGGGGAATTTTTGAATTAGAAAACAATCATTAGTAAAACAAACAATTTTAAGAATCATCTGGAAGCAATTCGAAAGGGGGGTACAAAAATATAGAAGAAAAACTTAAAGAGGCCAAAAGATACTTACACAGAAGAACAAATCAATATAAATAATGTAAGCAGCTTTCAAAACAAGTTGGAATTTCCACAAAGCAGGTGAACCAGAGGGCAATGAACTATGGGAAACGCAGTGAATTGAAAAGCAAAATTTCCAGAACCTAGAAAAATTAGAATAAATTCACAAAAATATAAAATGTTCCATAAGATCTCGGTGACAGAAAAGCGAGCAGTTTTGTTGAAAAAACAATCAAACGACTAGATGCTTGAGGGGATTGAGAAGAACACAAAGGGATGATAGATTCCGAGCCAACATGTGCTGGCAAGCTTTTGTGCTTTTGGTAGAGTGAATTTTTATCACAGAGGTATATTGGGAGTATGCTCTGACCACAATAATTAGATAGTTGGGAGCCAGACGTATGACATTTAGTAGATTGCACAGAAACGCATAGAATGTGTGGAAATATGGAAACAAATATGAGCCCAGCTGATGAACTTTATGGTGAAATGGTGGATGGAACAGATTCAGGGAAGTGAACGTTCCAGCAGATATTACCCCTGCGTATGGAATACATCTATAAGGAGGCCAACCATTGTACTAAATTTAGTAAACCATGAAACAACATAGATGGTCATCAAAACTATGATGTGCACATTATGAATGAGAATGGTGTAAATATTTTGTTATTACGTGTGAATGTTGAATTTAATATTTTGTTATTGTATTAAAGGGTCTCTTGTTTTTTGTAATGATTTTATCAACAGCGTCACAGAGGAAAGTGGTGACGGTGCAGATAAACACCACCACATAAACAAACAGTACCAGTGAGCATTAATAATGTCTAAGTCTCTTCTTGATTTGTAGATGAAAAAAGATAATTTCCTCTCCAATTACTAATATGAAAGTGAGAAATATCAATTTTTCCTATCCTGTAGAGGGGGGAACTTCAGTCCTATGACCCAATATAAATTTTATAGTGGCAATACTGCTCATGTCAGAAAGATTATCATCTTAAAATTTTTATGAACAGAGGGTTTGGGCATTAGGAAAATACATAATAGATTAAGGAAATAATTGTAATAAAGAAGAGGCACAATGGGACGATCACAACATACTCTTGCCATCTACCATCTATTGCCTACCAAAGTACATTTTTTTGAAGTTTTATCTTTTTTTTTTTTTTTTTTTTTTTT